CGCCCCTTAGCCGAGTTATAATTGAGGTTTTGTGAAAAATGGGAAAAATCCCGTTTTGGTTCTGTTTTAAGTCACAGGGGTCAGGCCTTCTTCGCGTTCGCGAAGGGCCTGTCGTGTTCGCGATGAGTAGCAACGCGTGGCTTTCGCGTACGCGAGTCCTCCTTTATGTTCGCGAAGGCTTCCCCCCCTGGCCTTTGCGTTTGCGAGGCATTGCTCACGTTCGCGATGAAGGAATGATCGACCCTCCCCTAGGTGTGCTTAACACTACGCGTTCGCGAGGAGCTTGTCGCGTTCGCGAAGGGTAATGCTCCCATCGCTTCGCATTCACGACCAAGACTTCACGTTCGTGAAAAAGAAAACTTCAGCTGCCCAGTTTACTCTTCGCGAGAGTACCTTCGCGAACGCGAAGAAGAACATGCCAGGACACCTGCTGCAGCAAAATGCCAGATTTTCAAAGTCCAAAACATCCTGTAGCCTATCCGAAACCCACCCGAGCCCTCGGGGCTCCAAACCAAACATGCACACAAGTCCTAAAATATCATACGAACTTGCTCGCGCGATAAAATCGCCAAAATAATACCTAGAACTACGAATCAGACACCAAATCAAAGGAAGTTTTCAAGAAAACTTTAAAACTTATATTGTTACAATCGGACGTCTGAATCACGTCAAATCAACTCCGATTCTCACCAAATTCGGCAGACAAGTTATAAATATTATAGTGGACCTATATCGGGCTTTGAAACCAAAATACGGACCCGAGGTCAATAAATCCAACTTCAGTAATTTCTTAGAAATCATTAAGCTTTCAAGCTTTTAATGTTTCATCAAAATTCCATAACTCGGGCTAGGGACCTCGGAATTTGATTCCGGGCATACGCTCAAGTACCAAATCACGATACGGACCTACAAGAATTTTTAAAATACTGATCTGGGTCTGTTTGCTCAAAATATTGACCAAAGTCAACTCAGTTGAGTTTTAAAGCTCTATTTTCCATTTTAATCTATTTTTCACATTAAAACTTTCCGGAAAATTGTACGGACTACGCACGCAAGTCGAGGAATGATAAATGGTGCTTTTAGAGGTCTTAGAACACTGAATTACTTATTAAATTTAAAGATGACATTTTGGGTCATCACATAGACACACCAATAAGACTTGTCTTCAATTCTTGTTTCTTCCTTTATTAGGAGTGTTTTGTATGAGAGTTAGTGTTGGGAAGCACTTGTGTGAACCCTTTCTTTGGAGTGATCTTGTGAGGTTATTCTCTTATGGTATTTGGGATTAATTAGAGTGTTTACTCTAATTTTATACTCTCTTTTGTACTCTTATTGTTATAGTAAATTGCTCCTCTCCGCTTGTGGACATAGGTCACTTTGACCGAACTACGTTAAATCTGTGTCTTCTTTATCTACTTTAATTGCCGTTGTTATGAACTTCAATTGTCTTTATTATTTTCATTATACCGTTGTTTGGCTAAATTCCGCACTACCCGGGTTCCCGATCCTAACAAATTCGCATCAGAGCCGGATCTAACCGGGTTTGTTTCAATAGCCAAAATGACTCTAACAAAGACCTATGTTGAGAAATTTGACCGAAGTGCAAACTTCGAAATGTGGCAACTAAAGATGGAAGCTATCCTAATTCAGGATGGCTTAGACTTGGCGTTGCAAGAAAAAGAGAAGAAGCCGGATAAAATGACGGATGAGGAGTTCGCCGTCATAGGCAAAAAGGCAAAAGTAGGTATCATTTTAAATCTCTCAAATGAGGTCTTACGTGATGTTTCTGTAGAAACCACAACCAAAGGCATGTGAAAAAAATTAAAAACTTTATATATGAAGAGGACGGTGGAAAATAGACTTTACTTGAAGCAGAAGCTTTATACAATTCGTATGGGTGAAGGTACCTCTATTATCTCTCATCTTGACACCTTTGATTCCATTCTTATGTATTTGAGTAATATAGATGCTGAAATTAAAGATGAGGATCAAGTCGTGTTACTGCTTTGTTCTCTACCCCCATCTTTTAAGCATATAAGAGATACTATGCTTTATGAAAATGATAATATCTCTTATAAGAATATTAAATGTATCTTAAAATCAAAAGAACAGATAGATAGTGACATTACTAGGGAAGCTAGTGGAACTCAAGCGGAAGTTGGCTTATTTGTTAGGGGAAAATCCGACTCCATATCCAGATACAATAATTTAAAGTATCATTATTGTCATAAAAAAAATCACATTATCTCTGAATGCTATAAACTGAAAAATAAAGAAAAGCATAAAGAAAGAAAAAAATGAGCACAAAAATACTGACACCGCCGAAGCTAGTGTAGCAACTGATGAGATTGAGGGAACTATATTTTTAGCAACTGAAACTAGTTTCAGATTAGACAATGAGTAGATTCTAGATTCTGGTTGTTCATATCATATGTGTCCTAGCAGGGACTTGTTTTCTACATATGATTCAGTTGCAGGTGGAATTGTCCAATTGGGTAACAGTGTTACTTGTAACGTTATTGGCAAAGGTACAATTCGGGTCAGAATGCACGATGATGTGGTGAGAACTCTCACCGATGTTAGATATGTTCCTGAGTTGAAGAAAAATCTCATATCTTTGGGCACTTTAGAATCCCTTGGGTACAAATTTACTAGTGAAGGTGGAGTTTTAAAAGTTTTTCAAGATGCTCTTGTGATCATAAAAGCACACAGATCTGGTCCGTTGTATACTTTATTGGGCTCCACTGTTATAGGCCCTACTACAGTTTCGGTATCAGATAATTTATCTGATTTTGATGGCATTAAATTTTGACATAGGCCCATTGGGGCTTTTGCGAAGAAGGTGGAGAAAATTTACTATATCAGCCAAAATTAGGCCAAGGTGGAGATTTATAATTATAGCCAATATTTTGGCTAATGGAGTCCATCTCATATAAGCATAAACATCTTTGCAAAGTATAGATTTTGTTGGCAATATTCTTTGGGACCCAAAAATATTGCATTGTGTGTTGGACATTATTTGCACAAGTTGTATCTCTTCTTTTACACCTAAGAGGCCAAGACTTTTTTTTCTATAAAAGAGAAGGCCATTAGTTCATTTTAGACACACCAACAAGACTTGTCTTCAATTCTTGTTTCTTCCTTTCTTCCTTTATTAAGAGTGTTTTGTATGAGAGTTAGTGTTGGGAAGCACTTGTGTGAACCCTTTCTTTGGAGTGATCTTGTGAGGTTATTCTCTTAGGGTATTTGGGATTAATTAGAGTGTTTACTCTAATTTTGTACTCTCTTTTGTACTCTTATTNCTCCGCTTGTGGACGTAGGTCACTTTGACCGAACCACGTTAAATTTGTTTCTTCTTTATCTACTTTAATTGCCGTTGTTATCAACTTTAATTGTCTTTGTTATTGTCATTATACCGTTGTTTGGCTAAATTTCGCACTACCCGGATTTTCGATCCTAACACGTACAAATAGAAACAACAAGAACATAAAAATCTAGAAGACAGAATACATGAAAACACAAAGAAAAAGCAGCGCATACCTTCAACCCCAATATGATAAAAGCAAAGCTTAGATCTCAACCATGCGTCTCTGTTGCTTCGCTTCACTTTCAATAATATCTGCACAAAGAATATTCAAATGTTGATTTGTTAAATAAGTACATTGGTGAAGATATAAAGTGTATGCACATTAACTTTGGAGAATAATTGTCCAAAATAAGATGTTTGTTATTGCAAGAGATGCATTGCAACTAAAGTTCGCACAGTTACAAAAAGCGTAAGTAATTAACAACATGACAATAAAGTTTAAACTTTAGAATTTCATGATAAGCACAAAGCTAAGTATTTTAGTTATAATAGATAATGACTAAAAGAGAAAATTGTTGAAAGTTAGAATTGATTTTATTGGCTTAATTTTAAAAGAACTATGCACAATTTTTTTTTAAAGCGCATTAGCATCACAATATATCACTTCTGCTCCTTGCACACCCTTTATTCTATTGTTGTTTCTCTCTCACACACACTCAGTGTTCACAAGCCTCTAAACCTATAAATACAATCGTCGTCATTGGTCCCCTTCCACAAACTTCGATCCAAGACATTATCCATTGATATGATCTACAAATCTATACTTCATACCTTGATATGAGATATACGATTTTAATCATTAGCATGAGGATGAACGTACCAATGATGCCCGGGATTCATAAAATCTGCAATAGCAACAACAAAAATATGTAAAGTAACATCAAGTAACTCCAAAAATTACGCTTATAATTAAATTATTTATTTTGATCTCAAATTCATTACGACGAAGCGTGCGGATAAAACTGCAATCGAAGACAATATAAGAGCTGGATACATACGGGATCGGTATATTTGTGGAGAGTTCGGCGTTTGATAGATATATTTGAATTTTCATATCCTTAAGCCACAATAATAGAGTTCAATTACATGTGTATTTGACGCAGAGAACTCCTAAAGTATCTTAAATTCTAAGACAAGTTGTTTGTGGTTCAATTCTATCTCTATTTGACGTAGAAGAGTAATCCAAAAGTTAATTGAATTCTAACACAAATTTTTAACGGACGTCTTTGTACATTGGAATAATTTAATTTTAAAGGGTATAAAAGTCGGTCAATATTTTGAAGATATTTTTGTCGATCAACATTTAATATTCTAACATTCGTGCTCACAAATTTTTAGCGGACGTCTTTGTACATTGGAATAATTTAATTTTAAAGGGTATAAAAGTCGGTCAATATTTCGAGGATATTTTTGTCGATCAATATTTAGTATTTTAATATTCGTGCTTTTATAATAATAATAGATAGATATAGATATAGATAGATAGATAGATATAGATATAGATAGATATAAATATAGATAGATAGATAAATTAAAATTTAAAACACAAAAGGTGCTTGTAATTCACACCCACAATAATAATAAAAAGAAGAGATGTAGATTTAATTTAAATAAAAAAGAGCTTTTAAATAAAGAAGAAAAACTAAAAGAAAAACAGGAACATGCCCGAAAAAAGGTTCTGCCGCCGTCCAATCATCCCTTAGTTTTCTTCCCTGGCAACCCTCCTCGTTCCGTCTTCTTCTCCGGCGAAGAGCTTCACTTGCTTTACCCTAGAGCCGCCCTTGATTTGGATACCACGATTTATGCTTATTTTTGTCCCTTTCGCAGCCTGAGAAAGAACACAGCTAAGTTATCAATTTGCTTCAATTGCCGGCTGCAAGAGTATTATTATTTTTTAATCGTGATAATGGAGCCTAGTGCAGATATTAACCTTGATACAGACATCTGGAGGTAATTGATTTCCTAATCCACTTGCTTATTTTGCTGCTTAAACAATTGTTGTCTTTGGTTTCAGTTGAGAATATGCCTTCGTAGTTATTAACTGGAAAATATCTGGACTGCTTGTGTTAATAGTTTGAATGATCAAGATAGCAATGCAATTATATTGCCAGACAAGAAAAAGAAGAAGAAGACAGAAAAGGAACAGGTATAAACAGAAAATCAATATGTTATACATATTTGAACGTCTTCACAGATGACCGATTGCTTTAATTTTTTTATATCAGGTATCGAAAAAGCTTAAAACGAAGAATAACATTAAGTTAAGTCAATCTCAGAAAAAAAAGCTGAAGAAACTCGAGGTAAGTGCATCCAGGAATATTCATTGTTTTCTTAATTTGTTAGTACTACTTATTCTTGTCATCTATTTTTTGGACTTAGAATAATTCAGTCTTCTCAAATGTAGGAAGACAAGGAGAAATCAATCCTTTTAGCTGAAAGCATTAAGACCTTGAAGTAAGAATTCTCCTCATTTAGCTCGGACAGCTTTTCACTTTAAGTATTCAGGAATTTTTTTTTTGTTGGATAATGACAAATAATTCCCATTTCAGGAAGTACCAGATCCAAGATGATCTTTATTCACTTATGTGGTCTTCAAGGAACTTGGGTCAGGTTTGTGTAATTGTCCATATTTACTTTATATGTGACAGGTTGTTAGACTTTAGCTCTAAAATCATGCCCCGTATTCTGTAGGGTGAAACTAGTCGAGAGAAGCGTAGAAGAGAAGTGCAGTTTTCTAGGGCGGGGTTAGAAGTGCCACATAGAGATCGACCAGTCAAGAAGAGGACAGCCAACGGCCTAACTAGTGATGTCTTGGATGATTCTAACGAAATGAAGTCGAGTCCAATAGTCAATAGCAATCTTTTGCAGTCCTCCGTAGGAAAAGGTGAAGTCCAAAGTGAAGCACTCGTCACTCCAGGGTCTCCTGAAGAGTTGACTTGTCAGAGTGGACTTTTAGTTTGCGGTGGAGATGCTTCGGTGCAAAATAAGCAAGAAGAGGATAGAACTACAGAATGTTTAAAGTCAGATTATCAGCAAGATCATCTATCAATTTGTGATTGTCATAACGAAGAACAGAGGAAATCAACGGTATTGCTTCACTCTCAGTTTATACAGCCTTTTATTTTGTGTCAACTATATACTTGGTACCTAATTTTCGTTGAGGCTTTCTCATATGCATGCCATCCTTGTTCTGTGTGGGCACTTCATATTGAACAGGATGATATCAAGGATATTCAAAATGCCAGTTTGAGCAATAGTAGCAACTCGGCTAACTGTCTTCCTCAAAGAGCTTTAACAACTCCAACTGTGGTGCACGTTTCAAGACCAAAGGAGGTTGAAAATAAGAGGAGCGATCTGCCGATAGTCATGATGGAGCAGGAGATAATGGAAGCTATAAATGAGAACACGTGTGTAATAGTTTGTGGTGAGACAGGTTGTGGTAAGACAACCCAAGTTCCTCAGGTGAGATATTCTATTGTTCTCTATATGCTTCCTTTTCCTTCGGTTGGTAATATAGAGTTCTATTTATTTCGTTCTTCCTTAATTTTTAGTTTTGTTTTAGTGTTTTTATCTCTTGCTTTTGGTTTGGGATCTTTCAGTTCCTTTATGAAGCTGGCTATGGTTCAAATCATTCCAATGGTCGTGGTGGTATTATTGGTGTGACTCAACCACGCCGTGTTGCGGTACTTGCAACTGCCAAGCGAGTGGCATTTGAGCTTGGTTTTAGTCTTGGCAAAGAGGTTGGTTTCCAAGTTAGACATGACAGGAGGATAGGAGACAGTTGCTCCATAAAGTTCATGACTGATGGAATTCTGCTTCGGGAACTGCAGGTAAGATGTCAGTATCTATGTCTAGGTAAATTGAAATCTTCGTCCCTACCTTTTAAGTGCTTTGTATTTTGTCCTTACTATGAAAAAGGGTGCACACCATTTGACTGCTAAATATTTAAGAAAAGGTTGAGAAAATTAGAGCAATACCGTGAATAGTGAAATAATTGAAACTTTATAAATTACTTTCAAAGAAGCAACAGAGATGTTTCTATCAATTAGCTGTGTCTTGATTTCAAACTAGTTGGAGTTGGCTATATGAATCCGCTATGTTCATTCCACTCTATTCAGACCCATTTTTAATCCAATTTTGGAATATCTTAACACTATTGGCTTTTGTTTAGGAGTTAAATGTTTTGTTTTGTTTTGTTGAGAAAGGTAACAGAAAAGAAGAAAAGTGAACTAGTGACTTTAGTTGTTGAGATAATGTGGAGGGACAGTGATAACCAGTTTAATTACCAAGCAAAGGTTAAGTCGTTCAGAAGCGGGAACAATTGTAAAATCAGGATGCAGTTCAAAGCATGTTTGTGAATGCAACTATAATCCCATTATTCTTATTTTTAACCTCTTCAGTGAGAGGGGTATAGTGCTGCAGGTTGAGGTCTCATTACAAAATTGTTAATGTAATTATTTTTGGGAGAAACAATGGATTGGGCACACCTAGTCATTTTTGCAATTTGCATATTGAGCCGAATAATGTTAAATGAAAGCCTAATAATGTACAGTTCGAAATAATTTCAGTTTTATGTGAACAATTCACACATGGACATAAAACCAACTCCTAACTAAGCATGTTTAACGGGCCGGGTTGACCCGTTTTCGGACCGGCCCTGACCGGTTGTAACCCGAACCGGCCCGGACCGGTAGTTAGGGGGCCGGGTGGGCTGGGTTGGTCCGTTTAAAAAAAAATCTGGTTAACCGGACCGGTCAAACCCAGTCAACGAAAAATACTGTTGAACCGGTTAACCGGCCCGGACCGGTTCAACGACTATAAATCTGATTTTTTTTTTTTTAAAGTCATATGACCGTTGGCCTTCAAATTTGACCGTTGCCCAAGGGATATTTTGCAAGAATAACCCTTTTTTGGGCAATATTTTTTAAAAAATAACACTTTTAGTAATTACTTATTTAGCCCTTTGAAAAACTATAAATACACCCCCCTCTTCTTCATTTCTTCACTCATCTCTCATTTCTCAAACTCAAATTCTCAATTCAAGTTAAATCATGCCCCGTGATTCTAGAATGCGCTCATATGTTTGGGAACACTTTGAGGTGGTAGAAGAAAATGAAGAAGTTCACAAAATAAAGTGCAAGAACTGTGGTCGAGTCTTAAATCTTTGTCAAAAGTGGGAGGGCACAGGCTGTTTAAGGAGGCATATGAAGAGTTGTCTTGAGCGTTCTCCAGAAATTCGTATTTAAGATTTTAAGTTGATTTGAGACAATTTGTATTATTTTAAAATTATTAGACGTATTATGCTTAATATTTTAGTTTGTTAGATTAATTTGAAGTATTATTATGCAATGATAAGTGCAAGTTTGAACTTTAATTTGAAGTATTAAATATAAACTTTAATTTGCAAGTTTGAACTTGCAAATTATAAGTGCAATTTTTTTTCCATCTTCATTGTATTCTATTATCTTAAATTCTTAAGGAAATATTCAAAATTTCAAATATAAAGCCTTTGCATCCTTTTATTCAAACACTCTTTTTATAAGATTATTTTTTTGTTTTATATTTTTACTTTATATTAATATAAATTACGATAGTTATACAAAATACAAAAAAATAAAATAAAAAAGAAAAATAACACTAACCCGGCCCGGCCCCTTGGACCCGTAACCCTTCCGGTTCATTTTTTACCCGGATGGACCCGGGCCCATTAAGCCCGGTATTGAAAAACCCGTAACCAGGCCGGATTGGAAACCGACCGATCACCTTTTTTCCCAACGCGGACCGGCCCGACCCACCCGTTAAGCACCCATACTCCTAACTAATCCTTGATGCTTTACTATAAACAATAGGATGACTATATGTAACAAAATTCCTTTCTGTGTCATTAAAAGAAAAGGATTAAGGTTCCAAAATATTCGGACTCTCCTGAATGAAGTTGTTGTTTGGTAGGGGGGAGTTGGGGGTCAAAGAGCCCTCCCTACCCCTTTGGCGATCATAGTGAGGGTCATATATCAGTATATTTAAGGAGGATTTTTTTGCGCAAGGAAAAAAGATCCTTTCATGCTTTTGTCGTTGTGGTTCTGTTGCTTTCCAGTACTTCAGTGCCAAACTGAACCAACTTCGTTGTTTCACTGGTGCAATGCCACTTTACATGAGATATTCAATCCATGCTCCTTTTTGTCCATTATAGATGGTTCCGTCTGGTTTTCCTTTATTCTTTATCAATTTGTGTTTAATGAGCATCAAGTTTTAAACTCAAGCGTTGCTCGACCTTGCTTTTCAGACATGAGTTAAAATTCTAATTGCATAAACAGGTATATGTGGGAGTTATTTTTTGACAGGTAAATGACTTTATTAAATTTTTTGGTATATGCTCTATGGAGTTAGAACCAAACAGTTTGTTAGTTTACAGATATGTATAGTGTAGTCTTGTCCCACATTGGAAGAGGAGTAATATCTCATTGTAGTGTATAGCTATAAATAGGGACCTCTTGTATTGTATTTATTATCTAATATCAATAACATATTTTCTCCCGTGCCTTCTCACATGGTATCAGAGCATTAGTGAGAAACCCGTCGTTGTGCATCATTCCAGCGACTTCCGGGAAGAAAGACCTCTTCGCCGTGCAATTTTCCGGCGACTTAGAAGGCTGTCCGTAAGCAAATCACTTTATGTTGGTGTTGTGCAAAAAAACCAACACCACCACAAGACTCAGGCTCCGGCGACCAAACCCCAGTCAACCCCACCGGAAAACACACGTCCACGCGTCCTCACGTGCTTGGAAAAGAAATTTTTTTCCGGCGAGATCTGACCCACGCACCGGCGCGTGAGCACTGTTCCGGCCAGATTTTGAAAAAGCTCCAGTTGGACAGTAGAATCGCCTGGTAATTCTGATCCTACACTCACTGGTTTTGTTTCATTCCGACCACTTTGAGTTTTTCCGTCAGCTACAGTAGATTCCGTCGTGAACGGTGTTCCAAAAGTCACAATGGCCAATGGGTCTCAAACCATGGCAACTGCAATAGGTCAAGCAAGCCCACTTCCTTCCTTACCTTTAGATTCAGTCCTTTATGTTCGCAATAGTCCTTTTAATCTCATAGCTGTTAGTCGCTTAGCCAAATCACTTAAATGCGCTGTTTTTTTTCTTGATGATCATGTTTTTATACAGGAACGCAGTACGAGGCGGATCATTGGTATCGAGCGTGAATCAAACGGACTTTATTACCTTATCCTTGCTAAATTACATGGACTCACATCTTGTCTTCCTTCTATAACTTGTCTTGTTACTGATTCACCAGATTTATTACATAAACGGTTAGGACATCCCAGTTTGTCAAAACTTCAGAAAATGGTATCTGGTTTATCTCACTTGTCAGCTCTAGAGTGTGAGTCATGTCAGCTCGGTAAGCATACTCGCTCCCATTTCCCTCGGCGTCTTGATAATCGAGCAGAGTCACCTTTTACTTTAGTCCATTCAGATGTTTGGGGTCCTAGTCGGGTCAGTTCCACCTTGGGATTCCGCTACTTTGTCAGTTTCATTGATGATTATTCCAGGCGCACTTGGATATTTTTGATAAAAAATCGATATGAGCTGTTTTCTATTTTCCAGACCTTCCACGTTGAAATTCAAAATCAATTTGGGGTTTCTGTTCGCACATTTCGTAGTGATAATGCCCGAGAGTATTTGTCTTCCCCATTTCAGTAGTTTATGAAATCTCATGGGATTATTCATCAAGCATCTTGTCCGTACACATCTCAACAAAATGGGGTAGCTGAAAGAAAGAATGGACATCTTATTGATACTGCTCGTACCCTACTCATACTATCTCATGCTCCGTTGCGTTTTGGGGGGATGCAGTTCTTACATCTTACTATCTTATTAATCGTATGCCATCTTCAGCTATCCAGAACCAAGTTCCATTCTCTGTCATGTTTCCCCACTTACCTTTGTTTTCTCTTCCACCTCGTATCTTTGGAAGCACTTATTTTGTCCATAACCTTATTCCAGAAACAGATAAGTTAGCTCCTCGTGCTCTTAAGTGCGTATTTCTGGGTTTCTCGAGAACACAAAAGGGGTATCGATGCTACTCTCCTGACCTCCAGCGGTACCTTATGTCCGCTGATGTTACCTTCTTTGAAACCCAATCATATTTCACAGGTTCATGTCATCACTTAGATATTTCTGAGGTACTACCGGTTTCATCTTTTGGAGATTCAGTCACTCCAGCTCCACCACCTATAGCTCCAGTTCC